TCCTGCCTGCTGCTGCTGCCACCACCTGCAGGGGCTGCGTACCATGGGGAGAGTATGGGGGATCCTCCCCCACTCCCTCCCACCCACACCGTGCCCACCCAAGCTCCACACTGCTGCCACTCCCTAAGCGTGGGCTCCGTGCTGCTGCCAGCCCCATGCTCTGCACTCCTACCCGGCTGCAGCTCCCCTGCTGCCCTGCACCTACCGCTTCCCTACCTGCTGCCCGGAGCTAGCAGGATGCCAGGGAAGTTGAGCAGGTCCCCCAGCAGTTGCAGCAGAGCCCCAACAAGAAGCTGCATGCTGGCTGGGCTGGGCCCTTCCTCCCACGAGTGTAGGAGTGGGGCACCATAGGATATGTTGACGGGGGGTGTGTATACATGGGTGCCTTGCTTCCACTCTTGTGAGTGGAAGGGCTGGATGGGGTACAATTAGTTGGTGGGCACTGCAGGCCAGATGGAAGTGCTTGGTGGGCCGAATCTGGCCCTGGGCCATATTTTGCCCACCCCGTCATGTACCGTATATGCTAGTTTAACCTTTTCAAATGACCTGAATTATTTTGTTTCCTGAACTGTTTCTCTGCCACTCTTTGCTTTGTTTTGTTTCTTGTTTGTAATCTACAGTTTTCACATGTGCAACAGGGTTTATTTGGATTTGAACAAGCAGCTGTGCCATGGGTATTAGAGCCAGAGTGACAAATTAGAACCTCTTGGGCAGAACTGATTACATTTCTCATGGCAGTTGAAGGAGACAGAGAGAACACTACAGTGTACATTTACCTTTGTGTCACCAAAAGGAAATCATGGTTACTAAAGGTCGATACAGTTTTAGATTAAATAATTTACTCTGTATCCAGCAGTAGCTTGGTTATGAATGAATCAGTCACAGAATCCTGTGTTTTGTAACAGCTTGATTTAGAAGGTTATTTCAAGATAAGATTCTCTTTTCTGGGAATTAAAATCTCTCTGAAATACCATTCAGTGTTGGCAATCTCCTTGCTTCTAAATGAAAAGCTCCAACTGCCTTGGCTGGGATGGACAGTAGTTCCAAATATACGCTATTTATAGTGTTTTTATATTTGAGGAGGAAATGCTGAGAGTGCAGACCAGAACCTAATATGGTAGCGAGGAATGAATGGGTTTAGATGAATATATAGTTTGTGTTATGATAGCACTTCAGGCCACAGCCAAGATTAGGTCGCTGTTATGAGAATACAGTGCACATATAGAAAAAGTTGGTCCCTCCCTTAAAAGTCACTCACTCCTGGAAACCTTGGAAACACAGTAGTAGGGTTAGCAGGAGGAAGAGAAAAGAAATATTAATATCACCAGATCAAGGCCTGTGGGACAGAGTGAGCGAGTAGCTTGCCCAAGGTTAGACAGGAAGTCTGTGGCAGAGCCAGGAATGTAAGCTCAAGTCTACTTCTTGTCAGCACAGGGTCTCAATGGTGAGAGTGTATTTCCTTCCTAGTTTTTTGGCCGAAAAATGTATCCATACATTTTGGTTTATGAAACATTAGGCCACTTTTTAGATTATTTTGATTATATGCAGGTATTTACTTTGTAGTTCTGTACCACTTGGTACAGTGAGGCCCAGATCTCACTTGAGGTTTCTCTGTACTACTATCCAGTATTTGAGATTAGACTTTACCCTTCTTTGTCCTTCCAAATATCCTTCCTGATTACTGACGCTCCCTTGCTTCTATTCTCCCCTCTTCCCACTATAACTGCTGTTTACATCCCCCTATAGTCAAAAGTCAGAATCCCCATCTTCCACTAGTCCAAACACCAGACAACCTTCAGCCGTTCTGGGTGCCAATAGTCTGGTTCTTGGCCCTTCCAAGGCATGATTTGAGCAACTATAGTCCTTATTTTTACCTGAGTCTGTCTTGACTTCTCACTGCTGAGGCAGCACTTGAAGGAGGCTTTCCTTCCATGCCTTCTGCACAGATTATCTGGCTCACCCCTTGTCCTCTAATATGGCTCGTTATCCCCGTGTAATAGGGATTTTCCACACCCTATGAAATGGCTCTACGGACATGAAGCTCCAATCTTTTACTATTAATCTATGCCCACATATAATTAAATATGCTGCTTGTGATGTTGTGGTGCACTGAGTGTTTATTTACATGCTTGTGGCAAAGAGCCTTAGAACAAATGTAGTGGCAAGTTAGTGACTTGTCTTACCTTGAGAGGGAGAAGACCCAGGATGCTGACAGATGTGATGGTTTGCCATGCAATCAGCCACTGAAAGCACTCTACAGCCATGCGCTGACAGAAGTGCACAGCTGCAGAGCACTTTAAAAATGCCTGGTTGCACGATAGTCTGAACCCTCATTTCCAAAGTGGAGCACCTTCCTCAACATTTGTCAGAGCATGCTGGGAGCAGGGCTGGGTTGATGCAGCCCAAATCCTGCTCCAGGTGCTGTCTTCAGAATGGGAGAGGGGGAAGGGAGGGGAGTGAGTTTGGTCTGTGGGTTGCACAGCCAGCACTGGAGAGTGGGTTAGGTGCATTGGAGCCCCCGAGGTGGGGGGGCTCCAGTCCACATGTCCCCCCACTCCAGAGCAGGGTGGGGAAACCCCAGAACAGACCTCCTTCCCTTCCTGAGAGAGCATGGGAGCTTGCAGAGGGGGGTGGAGCTAGAGGACAGAGGCTGCAGACAGCAGCCTCTCCCCCTGAATCAGCTTCAAAGTGGAGCTTGATCACCCACTCTCCTGGTCCAACAGCAAATGTCTATTGGATCAGGAGGGTTGGTCTAATTTATGGTGCTTTCTGAGTTAAACCGGGGAGCTGCACAGCTGTCAGCACCCTCAATGTGATAGATCTTTCCAGCTCTGTTTTCTCTGATCCTATTTACTAGGTAGGGAGAGCAGGCTTTTATTTTCTCATCTACAGAAGGTTTGTTTTATTAGTTTATGCTGTTCATTCTGTATGTTCTCTTTAATTACACTGTGTAATATTTCAAATTTGATTATATCTGAAATAAATTCAAAGTTCTTAAAAAAAGGAGAGAAAAGAAGATAAGCAGTCATATTGACATACTGGGGCATGAATAAGCCACGTTCTTGTGAACATGTTAGCAAAAGGACTACGCAGTAATCCTTGGTCTTTAATACAGACGTTATTAAATTCCAAGGCTGCTCCATCAGAGCAAGTGTGGTCTGTTTTGTATCTTGTCACGGGAGAGCAGCATAGCTTTTTCATAGCTTGCTCACAGGGAGATGCATACAGGTTCACACTGCCTTTGGTTTTGTTTAATAAAGATTAGAACTAAGTAATAAAATTAATTAATAAGCCTGTTCTATAGAAATGTCTATATTGTACATTTACTGCTCTATTAAAGCCATGTTCCATTATTACAGTAATGAAAAACAGTCTTAGTACAGATGAGACTAAGCGTGAGTGTTTTTTGTTGTTGTGTGCTGTTACCTTTATCCCTGAACTATGATCTTTGCTTTTGTTTCAGTACGGGAGAGAAGACAGTGACTGGGCAATGCTGGTGTCATGAGCAAAAACCTGGAGAAGACTGGACCTTCCATACACTAAAGACAAGCCAAACCATTACACACAAATGATGACCGACTTCTCTAATGGCGTATGAGTAGTGTAGTCTTGTCACCTTGATCCCCAAGATATTTGTTTCTCTATGCCAGGGAATGTGAACACAATCATTTTGATTTTTACTATAATCTTGTTAGTAGAGGTGTCTCTTCTCTTTAGGGGTGCTAGATGTAAGCAATAGAACTTTTCCTAGTGGTTTTCTTAGTGCCTCCTTGTGTCTTATGTACAGTCCAAAAACTTTGTAAAATACTTTTCAACTGCTCTTCAGTGTTTTATTTTCCTCTCCCAATTACTGACACTGCCACCACCAGAGTTGGCTGCTATATAAAGAAAAGCAGTCCACTGTTTGGAGGCCTGTTAATATCTCTTTGTTTGTGTGCTCAGCTGTTGAATACCTTTTAACCTTTACATTTCCCCCCCTTCTTTTACTATATTTGGGTGGCAGGTTCCTCACTTGAATTTCCAGAACTCTTAATATTCTCCTTCATTTTTATTCTGCCAAAACACAGCATCATTCTTTAAATCTCATGACAGAGCATGCACTCCTTCAGAATGAGGATATATTCAGTCCCAGAGCATAGCAACATAGGATGCTTACAGAAGTAGAAAAGAAAAAAAACTTTACTTTAAACTTTGCGTGCCTCCACACTGAGCCCAGCGCCTGTCCAGAAAAGGCACTTTTATCTAATAGCTGATTGAATCAGCTATTAGATAAAAGCCCCCCAAAACCCCGCTGAAGTGTGTGATCTATATAGACGCTGCGGAGTTGGACTAATGCACTTCCTCTTCTGGTAAAGCACTGTTTTATTTTGTTTTGGGGTTTTTTTTCCATATTTGTCAGCATCCATAACTTCTAAATTAGTTTGGATGAATCAGCAAAGTGTTGTTTTATTTTTTTGTTAGTTGATTGTTTCCTTCCCTGTCCAAAAGGTAAAGACTCTTCACCCTCACTCGCCAACATGTTCCTTAATATGGCCTCTGTGTTACAAAGAGGCTATGGTTTTCCCACATGGGTTCTACTTTTTGCTTTCCAGTGAAAGTGTTGAGTGCAGGAAGACCAAGGGACTTCATTCCAACCTTGTTGATATGTTTATTATTTTCCCCTTCATGTGCTACTGTACTTATGCACACATTCTCTTGTTTCCATACAGAGCATTTTTTGCTTCACATTTGGGAAAGTTTATGATTTCTACAGATTTTCTTTTACTGTTAAATATACTATCATCTAGATATAGTATCGTTATTTATATCATCCAAATGAGCCTTCCATTCTATACACATTACTTTTTTAACAAGCTTTAACATCTTCATTGCCAAAAAATGTTACAGTATTTCATAGCAGTGCTCCATGATGCCTTCGGCCTGATTCTTCTGTTACTTCAGCACAACGCTGGTATAATTTCATTAGCTCGAATGGAGCTACACCTGCATAAGTTAATATGGTGGAGCATCTAACATTTTACAACAGAAATGCAGTATTAGCATGTAGTATTTTTTAAATAGGAAATAACCATTTTTTCCCACTGTTTGCTAACTGTCCCTACCTACAATTGGCAACTGCTAATATAGGGCATGTGTAGACAAAACAGGGGCCCTAAATTAAAGCGGTGGGTTTTAAAAAACACCGTTTCAATTTAGGGCTGATTTAAACCCCCATGTTTTGCACAAAGCCCGCTGATTTACTTGCCTCTCCGGCGGGGAGGGGAGGGTGAGCTGCCAGCGGGTGGAGCGGTCTCTAGGCATTTGGGGGCGGGGGCTAGTGTTTCCCTCCGTGGCAGCATCAGCCACCCCCCCCCGGTCGGCACCCAGCTCGGGCAATCCTGGGGGGCACCGCAGCCATGGAGGGAAGCACCGGGCCCCTGTGCAGCTCAGGCAGGCTTCACAGGCAGGGAAAAAAAGATCAGGCTTGCCACTTTTCTTGGGTGGAACCTGCTTTCCCGAACTGCTGCCACACTGCCTGCAGGGCTTCCTGCAGAGTCATGGAGCTGCACAGAACCCGGTGCTTCGCTCCGCGGCTGTAGGGGCACCAGGGGGACCTGGTGACCGTCTATAAACTCACTAGGGGGGACCAGAAGGGTTTGGGGGAGACCTTGTTTCCCCTAGCGCCCCCCAGGATACCAAAGAATAACGGCCACAAGTTGTTGGAGAGTAGGTTTAGATTAGACATCCGTAAGAACTGCTTCACAGTTAGGGCAGCTAGGATCTGGAACCAACTTCCAAGGGAAGTGGTGCTGGCTCCTACCCTGGGGGGCTTTAAGAAGAGGCTTGATGCCTACCTGGCTGGGGGCATTTGAGCCCAGTTTTCTTGCTGCCCAGGGAGGCGGTCGGACTTGAAGATCTACAAGGTCCCTTCCAACCCTACTTCTATGATTCTATGAAAATAAATCTCCTTGAAAATTTTAGTTTGCTGTGCCCCAAGTCATTTAAGGTGAATTACGCTGCTGAATTTCCTACAGCAGCTAGAATTAATGCGCAATACACCGCCAAGGCATGCAAACACTGACACCACTAAAGTGGTGCAAAAGTATTTAGCCCGCTTTAAAATGTCATGCACATACCTCTCTTTTCATCTACACACGGCCACAGTAAACATAAGCTAATTATTTCTAAATAAGTAACCCACTGTTTTAGGCAACCACTTTAAATTTCCATAGGGCTTCTTTGTGCATTTTTTTGGTTAAGAAGTGGTCAAACATACCTTACTATTAGGCTATCAATTTCTTCTGCTCGCTGCACAGTGGCTTTAGACAGATTTTACTGTTACCCAGTCTTTATATTTTCTTGAAGAACAGTTGAAGGTTACTTAGTGACAGTGTAACAATTATTAAAAGTAAATTGTTGGACAGTGTTCTCTTTAAAATACATGTGTAAGCATAAAATGCTGTTTCACTTCAGTAGCAGTAAAACTGTGTATCTGTTCCTCTCTCAATTTAAATCTATATTGTGTTGCTAGTCTTTGTTCAGTATCTTGCCATGTATTATAAACTACTGGTAGTCTACCTTTTTATATGGTTGGTGAAAAAAGTAATACGGGGGATATGTCAAGACATGATTTGGGGTAGAGAAGCTGTTTCCAGTAAGGCAGGTACCATAACTAGAGTGGCTTTGATTACAGCCTATGTATCATGGAGCTCATTTGAAGATTACACAATGAGTAAGAATTAAGTGATTTGCTCTTACTGAACTATGATCCATTCCATTATGTTCATCTTAGATACTCCTCTTCAGTGTCAAGTGGGCAGGTGCAGCATGTTGATTTGTAGTATATATAAACTGAACGTGTGACCTCCTACCTGAGATGTTAATAATATTAACAGGAGTTGTACATCAGAAATTCCCCTGGGCAACCCCAGTCTCCAAACAGTAATCTGATCATAAGTTAAAATAAATAAAGGCCAAGTAGTCCGATTGACTTAAAAAATAACATTTATAGATCTGTGAAACTTCTTATGTCTGATTAGTGATTCCACGTGGAAGTAGCCAGTTGGCCTTTGATGTTTGTGACCTACACTGCTTCATGGAGAGACTAGAATTAGATCACCAATCATTTTGCCACAGAGCTGTTAAACCCTTCAAAAATAAAAAGGCTAAAGCAGAACAAAATTGGAAAGGTAGTCAGCTACTGCATGTGCCACCTTTTGAAACTGTTTTGCCCTGTCTGCATAAATTCTGATAGGCTTGATTAGTTTATTCAGACTCCAGTAAATAGATTTCAAGCTTCAAGCATTATATTCTAAATGAAAGAACTACATAGCACAATAAGCAAATGGAGTATTTTGATGTTGCACAACAGACCTGAAGGGAAATACATGGCCTGTATTCTGCATCTGTAGTATTTATCCTATTAACAAAAAATTGCAAGAAAAAAGCATTTATATAAAACAGTGAGCACTTTAGATATTGTGTTCTCTCTATTTTAGTCCATAAAGTTTAGGAAGGAACTGTGTTATTCCCTGAGCTAATAATGTAATGTTGCTCTTGTAAAAGAACATCTGCACAATCTCTTTTCCATGTGTACTATTTGTTTAATTGCAGCAGATTTACATAGAAAGAGCATGGTACATCATAACTAGGCAATTATCCATTCTTCATCACTTAGTTATGGTTCCACTAATTGATCATTTAAGACATAAGATAGTCTAACATTAGGAACATTTGAGGCTGTTTAAAAAAGATCAACAAATTAATATTGTTGTGTGATATTTGCATAATTGGCTGCAATTATTTAACGTTTAATTGGGTTGATCAAATGAGATTCAGCCTCTCGCATATGTATGCTTTACAAACAGTGGTGCTTTAAAATGATAATAATGAACTAATTTTTGCATGTTCTTTCTTTCCCCACTTCATTCTTTGATTATTATTTTCAACGTTGAGCATGTCCTTAATTTTCAGTTCAGTGAGTGTGATTTATCAGCAGAAAAGAAGTCCTTGGGATGAGAGAATGTTTCAGAGGTCCTTGAACTTGTATTTCACACTAACTTTTCTGATGGAGGAGTTGTGATATTACCAGCTTCCGGATTCAAGTCAGGGCAAATTCTCTGACTTGCAGTAACTTTCGTGAGAATTCTAACAAAAGCTTCCCAAGGACTGAGACTCCAACAGGAGGAGTCTCAGTGGCACAACACAAAATTAATTTCCACTGAAGTTGGAAGGGCAGCAAGGACAGAAATGGAAGGTATTGGCCAGGAAGGGAGAAGGGTGAATCTTCTGATTCAGTGTATGCTTCCACAGTCTCAACCATCAGGATTTCCATAAAACTCAAGCTAT